CGTGTGCTCTTCCGATCTTTTGCATTGTAGCTATACTTTTCTATAATAACATACTCATATTCATCTTTTATATTGTTGTATATATGTTGAAGTTGCGTCAGTAAATACTTTACCTATCAGTTCAATAATTTAATTTTACTATCTAACAGTTAAAATATATCTTGCTTAAAAAAGAGTTGCTAATTACAAATATATTTTTTAAGAAATATGCACTTAAACAGAAAATGTCTGCTAAAAACCAACTTACATTTTCGATATTAACAGCAAATGAGATATATTTTATTACGAAGAGAGTAAAGAAAAATGCAGTAGAAAGAATTTTAACGACATAATCGGAAGTATGATTGACAGTTAAAAGCGCGGTAAACTGAAAGCAATAATTTTATTAAAATGCTTGTATTAAAAAATCATATTCTTCTCTATTTAATTGTGTATATTACAACTTTTAAACTATACGTATGGAATTATTAATTAGATCTTCATAAGTGAATACTTATCTTTATATCTAAATAATTATAGAACAGATAGTATGTAATAATTATTTATATATATATAAATATATATAAATTATAATATATATAAATTACGTGTTAATAAAAGATGATTGTAAATATCACTTTATTTTATTTTATTAATATTCTTTTATAATAATAATATTACAATATTATCTTACTTGAAATAAAATAGCGCTTGTCAAAGTACTGAGGAAAAAGATGAATTGAAGACGAACGAATTTTGATTGTTTGTAGGGCCACAAACCAACAGCGATCAGAAGAGTCCTGTTGAGACTAAAATATTGGCTCTCAATGCAGATCATCTCTCTGTGAGCTTCAGAATATGACTGCGAAGAAAGAGAATGTTACGTTCTCATCCCCTCCTTTTTGCATTTATCGACAAGACATCCCTTCTCTCTTTTGGCGTAAATTACGACGTAAATTTAACATAATTTTCTTAATTTCGCTTGTATATAGGAGATGGCATATAATACTACCGTGAGATAGAAACACTCGCACTATAATAGCATTTCTCAGAATGACATCAACAATCAAGCCATTAATGTAATGCCATTGAAATTTATCCTCGAATTTATCGGATGTTTTCTTTACCATAAAAAGAATATTCTTGAGAGACCTACTTGAGCGAAAATTGTAGAAAAGCTGCGCAAGCGCAATTCAGCACTCTTTAGTATCTCAGTCTTATACGCTTTATTCATATTTGTGCACTCGTAAGACATGTTTCAACTCTAGAATAAAGGTCTCTTCAGTACCGCTGGACATGTTAAATTGTTGATGTGAAGGTACCCTAATTCTTTTCTCAAAGCGTAGAAACAGTTTTTTTGCAATACGTAATTCTATATGAATCAAAATAATTTCCCCGAGCCGGGGCTATTTGGTAAAATCATAATTTAAAATAATTAGAAGTCGAGAAATACTCGACACACGGGTTTTAAATT